ACAAGGGGAGGACACAAGACAAACCCCTGCAGCACTGAAGCCCTGTTCTGGAAAAAACCTCAACTTGCTCCCAGGGAATCATAGGAGGTACCAGAACAGTCAAGGGATGATCTTTACACTGTTCCTAGTCACGGCACTACTCTGAGCATGACATCTTTTGCTAAGGAAGCCTTCAGTTCACTTGGAGATAAAGTACGAGAACCGCATCGTTTTAGCTGCAAAATTACCAAATTTGATGGTAGTGCCATTGGCTAAACTCTGGTTAAATAACCCAGATACAAAAAGCCTTGGGTGCTCAAGACTTAACTGTTTCCCTCAAGTCTGTTTTAAAGGCAGCTCCTAACCAACATGTTTTTGTCTGGGTGAAGCAACAAACTCCCATCATCTGAGGGGACTTCAGGAATACAGGTGGGTACCATTTCGTTAAAGTCTAATTTGCATAATGACAAACTAGACCATTTGCATAGTTACCCCTCCACCCACAGACTGTCAGAGGCCTTGAATGTCTTCTCTGTAAAAGGAGCACCAACACCATTGCACACAAGAGTTCACCCAACCGGTAGGGTCAGAGGGATTCAACAGATGTCCTCTACAATCACTGTCTTCAAAACACTGAAATCAAGTCATGCTGGATTTTGTAAGATATATTGTAGGCAAAAAAATATATGTTTTGAGTTTAAACATGAAAATACTTCATCACAGGAGCTAGGTTTCAGTACATTTAAAGCTGAGGGTTTTGATAAAGCTAGTTTGAAGAGCAGTGTTGATTCACCTGTTCAACAGGGGAAAAGACACAGGGTTTCTATTACAAAATACTTTCAAGCACCACCTTAAATATGCATTCTATTAAAAGTACATTCATTTGGCAAATTTTTCAGCTTGCCAGGAGTTGTCAGAACTCAAGTGGATTACAGACAGCTAACCTGAAAGCTGAAAACCACAAACTAGGCATCAGCATTTGTAGCATTCAGAATAGCATCATTCACTTAATAATCCACAACTGGGTCCAGGAATACCCTCGCTTCTGTTCCATGCAGTAATACAAACCACTGTATTATTCTTAGTTGCTTTATAGACCATGTTATGCTGCTTTCTTGAAACCTTTTAGAATGGGGTAGATGTTCTCAAATGCCTCATAGATTTCAGAACGCTCTTTTGCTCCTAGAAAGAGATTTAGGAAAAAAAAACCCAAGAATTAACAGAGTGTTGAGAATAACTCAGTAACTCAGAATGCAACTCCAGCCTAATAACATCACAAACCATGAAGAAATGCAGGAGTTTAAAAGCAATTTATTGTTAGTTTAGGGCAGAATTTCTATCATACTTCTGCCACCTCACAAAGAGCAACTTCTAGCTTGCTTTGCTTTAACACTAGACTAGCTTTGTTTAATCTGGGGAACCAGAACAGGAGTTGGCTGTGCAAAACATTGGCTTTGGGTAAAAAAAAAAAAAAAAAGCAGCTGAGACGAACCTTGGTGTTAGCTGCTTAACAGCAACAGCTCTGCCTGCTGGAAAGACAGAAATAAGAAATGAAGGGCATTTATTCCAGTATCAGAAGTTGAGCCACAGTTTGAGAACTCCCCTCGTCCAGTTCTGAGCAGCTTTTTTTATTTTTAAGCTTCGCTAGGGCACCTGCCATTTCAAAGCCAGGGTTTTTTTCCATTTTACTGCAAGCCTTTTTAATACCAGGTCCTGTACACCGACTGTATGGCAGCAGGCAGGAACATTCCTTGGCAGTGACACTCCTCTGCCATGCTAGTACAACAAACACGAGCTACAAGAAAACTGTGTTTAAGCGAACTAGCAGCTGGATTAAGCGCCACTCAGGATGAATGCGTAAACCTTTCCCTCAGAGAGCCCCACACTCAGACATGATTAATTCATCTGCATGACAACAACTTTCACTTTCAGAGGGAAAGTTACTTTCTTGATTGGGGAAAACCACCCTCACAGCTCAGCAAATTCAGCTTTGTCATTACAGTTGGGCCCAGCGTTCACAGAAGACTCACCTTGGTGCTTCTGGGCCTGCTGCACACTCAAGGGTGTTGCAGTGAGCGTACCCCAAAAATGGGAGCACCAGCAGAATGGAACTGGCCAGTATGATTTTACAGGACCCAAGAAGAAGGTGGGGGGACATTGGAGGGGGAAGCATTGAAGCTTGGTACCAGGTGCTCTGTTCTTCAGTTAGCTGAGCTCATTCGTGACTTAGGATTGCAAGAGTCTCTGGCTAAGGCAGGCGCTTCTCTTTTGTGGTTCCCACACCTCAGAGCTGCATTGTGAACATACATACAGCACCCAGCTCCTCTGGGAACAAGTACCATTTACCTTGCAGTACATCTGATTAAAAGTATTTTCATGAGCTTTACAAAAGACAGTGTTAGGAACATGCACTCGGGAATTCAACTTTTTTGGACACGGGATCTGAGGCAGAGATACCAGCTGAGCGCACTTACTCAGCAAGGCTTTTGCCTCAGGAGTGTTTTGCCAAACAGTCTGGAACAAGTTCTTACATCTCCACCCTTTCCTCTAATAATCCCTGCTAAATGTTGTCAGTGAAGTGTTTTAAGAAGTTTGCTTCCTGTCCAAGCAATTTTAAATTGCTTGTTGTGATATTCATATTTAAGTGACTGAGTAGTTACTAGCCTGTCAGCATCCTGTTGGGATTCTGTACATGACACAAAGCATTATGCTTTGAACAGCATAAAGGCACTCAAGTTTAACAGAATGGAAATCTGCATGCACTAGGCATTAAAGAGATCACCAAGTGGCTCTACTGTGGCAAGATATTAGTTTAGCTAATGTTCAATTTAAATGGTTTCTCAGAAGATGTGGTAGCACTTGGTTACACAGAGGGAGACCACTCACCGGTCAGTACAACTTTTCCAGACACAAAGATAAGCAGCACTATCCTTGGTTTGACCATCCTATAAATAAGGCCAGGAAATAGTTCGGGTTCGTAGCTGTTTCAAAGCAAGCAAGTAAGATTAGTAAAATGCAAATACCGTGTTGCATGCATCAAGTGCTCTTTTATTACACTAGCAGAGTAATTAAATCCACAGATTTTTAGCTAGCTGCCCAGAGAAAGGCAGATCGGGTTTTAGACATCTTCAAGAGAAACCTGGTAATCCAAGCTGGGAGCAGTTCTTCATGCTTACTTTTATAGACTTCTAAGCCACTTCTGAGTGTGGTTTTCCATAGCATTGAAACCATTATTGTAATCTTCAAACAGTACTCAAATCCTTCTTAGTCTGCAAAGAGCCCTTATCAGGAAGCATCTTGTGCAGCTAAGATAAGATGAGAGATAAGTGAATCTTTAATATATATTTAGTCCCCAGATTAAATGCAAAATAGTAAAAGCAGTGCTAATAAGAGACACAATTAATTTAGATTTTGTCAGTGCCCAAATCTTCACCCTTTCCTGAGTGATGGCAATAACTAGTTCTGAACAAGCCCATCTTAAAGGCACAGCATGCCCATCACTCCGCTCCAGGTTTCCAGCAAATTGATGGCTAATAGACATCCAGACAGAAAGAACCAGAGCCATACCCCAGGAACACACTATATTTTCAGTTCTGTGTTTTGCAGCTGCAGTCCCACTTCATTCTGGAAGGTTAGAAACCTTATCCTTGCAGAAAGGCATCTGGTTTGACAGGAGTTAAGAGGCCCGCTTAGTATTAAAGCTTCACGGTGGAGCAAGGGCATAGACCAAGTTCAAGTAGCTTAAGAGCTGCTTCAATTAAACCTGAAGTATTTAATCAAGATTTGTTATTTTCCTATCAACATGGTCTACAGCAAAGAAAAATACCCACTAAGGTCTGATACTGCACTTGGCAGTAACAGGAGACTAGTGAAGTTGTGATCACCGACACTGCTCCGTTTGATGGAAATCTCTGGTGGTCAGCAACACCAAAGATTGCGTGGACAGTAGTACTCATGGCCAAAGAAAAGCTTTCACAAAAGAGACTCTCTTCATTAACCAACTAAGTGAAGAACCCAGGAGCTTCTTGCAGTTCTTCAGCCCTTCATCTTCACCAGATCTAATGTACCCCAGAAGTGGCTGAACACTTGCCTAGTATGCTCTCAGTTGCAAGGTTTCTAAAGCTGGCGTCTGTGGTGTCCCCGCAAGGAGAAAGCAGCGAACGCCACGCAGGAGGGCAATTTAGAAGAGCCCTTCACTGTTGAATTGTGTCAGTCACGGTTTCAGGCACTGGAAGTTTTATTGCTGGCTGCTGTACGTCAGCCTGGCAATTAAGCAGAGGGTCACAGTGGCCTGTGCCCTGCTCAGAACAGGAGTTATTGCAGAAGATAAACCTTACTATCTTTATTGTAACACACGGCGCCTACAGCCACTTCATGCTTGCTGAACCAGTGAGCATGTCTTTCGGCGAGCAAAAGGCACGCTTGATATTCGGTGTCTGGTTAATTATTACTCTTTTGCCAAGCTTGTACAGCCTCCGAATTTGAGTCTGTTTGCAGCTTACAAAGACACTGCTCCAAGTTGTAACTCTGCCTTCCTGAACTGCTGGTGAGTGAGCACCAAGCCTTCCAGCCGGATGGGGAACCTCACATCACAGCTCCCAACCATGTTCTGTATCTTGAAGTCCAGGAACTTGGCAGGGAACCCAAGCTTCTGCACCACGCGTGCGTACTTCCTGGCTGCGAGCCGTGATTGCTCTTCGCTGAAGCAAGAGCAGAAGGGGAAAAGCAGCTTTGATTAGTGCTTTCTTCTCCTCTCAAGCTGGAAGTCAGTTTGGAGCCACCACCATGCTAATCTGTCCTCCAGAAAAAGATAGGCTTACTGCTTAGGATAGCCTCTACCCACAGAACCACTTCAGTGAGCTAAAAGGAAAAAGGCACTTTGTCATTCACTTCCCTGTGGTGTGTTTGAGCACACTGGAGCACATTGCATCACCCAGAAGCTCCCCTCTTTAGAGGTTTCCTTAAAACAGTTGCTCAGAGTTGATCCAAGAGGTAAACTATACAAGGCACCAGTACAATCACGTTGCTAGTTTGGGATGGTGGTAAGGGTTGGAGAAGGGGTATCCTAAGCTGTGAGTTAATGCATTATCTCACTGTCAGTTTAGGAATATAAAAAGCAAAGGCAGCTGATGAACTTGAGGAAAAGAGCTTCCAAGCACAGAAATAATCTTTGCTTTTCTCCAATTCCCATTTTCTCTAGAGGCAGATGTGTTGACTAGTGAATACAGACAGCCGAAGAGAGACTTGGCAGACACAAGTTATGTCCTAACTCACTTTAAAGACAGTGAGACAGGCAAATAACCCCTTAACAATTCCTGGGCATTTTAGCAGCTTTTCTGCTAATGTCTGCTCAGCTCCATTTATATTCAGGGACAGAAACACACAATTCAGTAATTACTAAACTGCTGTCATGAAGAAAGCGAGACATTTTTCAATACTGGCACTTCATCTTTTCCTTGCAATTATGACAGCCCTTTGCTAGATAATTTAAATGAGGTTTGCTGTCATTTTTCATCAACATATGAGCATAGCTGCAAGAGCCAGACCTTAGAGGGAAGAAAAAAAATACCTTTTTGCTCCAGTGCAGACCATTTTTCCTGAACTGAAGATGAGGGCTGTTGTTCGCGGTTCCCTGATTCTCATGATCACAGCAGCAAACCTCTACAAATTCAAAGGAAGACCTCAGTCTGGATGAGAGACTTCGCTGGAACCATATTGCTGTTCATTCTTTCAAGAATTGTCACTTTCAAAGCTCAACACACCATGCATTTACTTTGTAAAAGCGTTTATTTACCCCCCTGAAGTTATTTTCCACCCCACTAGGACCAGGAGGCTCAAGACTAGAGTCACAGGACCACTGCCTTGTCCCTCACATTTTGTTGAGCAGTCTGGAGTCACATCTAGAATTACTCCTAGCGAGGTTTTTATGCTCTAGGCCACTTGCTAAAAGTATCATGCAATACCAGTTCAGCTCCAGTAATTCTCTTTCCTTCAGTCAGGAATTCCAGGGCAGATCTTTCCTCCCCCCTCCCAGTGAGCACTACTTGAGCCATTTCAGCTGGGGGTAGCTGGCCACAGGTGGGAGAGTTCATCTCCTTTCTTAAATAGCTTGGTAACATCTCATTGCTGGGGCTTTATTGAAAGAAAACAATCTCCATGTGGTCCCCTGGATTTCTTTTAATCTAACAGGCCCAAGTTACAGACTTACAACTTTCCCCCGTGGGTTAAGACAGCGCTATTAGAAAAAGTACAAAGCTTATGGTGAATTTGTACAGGAGAATCCATCAGCACTGAGAAGGGGAAGGGAGGGCAAAGCTTTGAGTCCTTAAGATTTACCTTTGGGTTATACTCCGCATTTCTGGCGTGCAGAGCTATGTTCTTCAGATCTAGTTTACAGGCCAAGTTTACAGTCGACACTATATTCCTGAGGAACGAGAGGGGAATTTTCTTATTGCAAAAGCAAGCCACTGCAGAGCCAACCCCCAGTATTATTAGCTTAATGTGAAGTCACACTCCAATTAATAACTGCCATCAACTAATTTCCTGCCCACCTCTTTCCCACTCTAGCATTAAGCTACTTTTGGCAAAGCTTAAGCAATTCAATCCCAAAATTACAGTTTCTGAGGTATGAAAGGTACGAAATTATTAGTCCCTGAATGCTAAGTTTGTCTTCCAATAACTACATCACTGAAGTCTTTTGCAGCTTTGGATTGAACCATTACTAAGTATTTACAGAGTTACTACAGCACCATTACTAGACAGGACACAATCAATGAGGCCAGAATTTCCCACACTTCTTTTGATGCCCCTTTTCCCTTGCTCAGCTTAGCCTGTTTCTGCTCTCAGAAAAGCAGACTGCCATCTTTAAACCCCTGGAGTCTGCTGTCATCCTTTATATCCTCTTTTGCTGTGAGAGATCCTCCTTTGCAAGTATTCCTGTCTTTTTATCCCTCAGACTGAAGTAAATAGCAATCCCTACTATAAATATATATGAATAATTTCTACCAAACACTTCTCCCTTTGAGCAACTTCGTCTCCTGTCTCATCTTCCCCCTTCACAAGCCAGAGGCATTTCAGATACTCACCCAGCATGTTTATCAAATCCACTCTCCCCTGTTTTGCTAAGCTGGGTGTTGTTCTGTGCCACTTCCATTTTTGTGTTGCGCTGATCAGCACAGCATCCAGTTGCCTTCCAATATTGTCGGTTCATTTGCTCCACCTCTCCTCAAAGAGAAATAACTGCCCCCCTAGTTTTTCGAGTGGGCTTATTTAAGACCAAACCACACTCGTTACGTTCTCTAAGTGAGAAGTCAGAGGAGTACCTTGCAGTTTAAGCAAAACCATGACTATTACATATGCTACATATACAATCCATACATAAACTTACTGTAACTGAGGAACTATGCCAGAGCTTTCTGATGCAGGTGTCATGGGGGTCATAGGAGTCATTGGTGTCAGAGGAAGACACGCACCAGATGCTTCAGGAGATGGTTGAGTCGCATCTGGGTAGGACAAGCTGCTTCCATCCACAAAGGCACCGCTGTCCTCATGTCTTGATATTGACCCATCAAGCTCTTTTTGCATTTCATGACCATCTTCAAATAGATATTGTTCTTTGTTATCTTGGGTAATATCTGGAAGAAAGCTGAGATCCACAGAGGAGAAGTCGGTAGGAAGCTCTTTGGGCTGATTAAATTGAGAACCAAACAACACATCTTCGGTTGTTTCAATTGGAAGGTCCACATCATAAGGGCTCATGGAAGTAAGGAGCTGAGGACTAGTTGAGAGGTCATCCTTGAATTAAGGAAAAGTGTCATTGTATTAAAAACATTTCCTTTAACTGGGAGACTAAATTAAGATTAATCTTCTATTCAATGAGGATGTCAAGATAATTTTTCCCCATACATATTACAGCAAAGAATAGTCTTAAGATTTGAAAGTGCATTGTTTGCTTGTCTGTCAGCATATCAACATCCAGGTAACTTCGGTACTGGAGATATGCATTTCCCCACCACACTTCAAAGGCAGCCTAGAACACTCCTGCAATACCACGGACTGAGAAGTGCTACAAACCTTCGGCAGTGACCGGAGGTACAACATTGGCACTTTGCCCTTCACAGCCATTTTCGTGCCTCAGTCATCCACATCACCAACATAATTGCTCATGAGTTTTTCCAAGGAAGACAGCTGGCATTTTCTGGCTGGCTTTAACTCCCAGTCGCTATATTACAATTTCCTCTCCCTGCTACCAGGGGACGGTGTCAGTGTTGTGTTGGATTTGTGCAACAGAGGGCAGCAGCTCACAGAATCACGAGCGGTTTGTTCTTTCAGCTGCAGGAGGTCACCAGGCTAATTTAAGTGAGACACAGCAAAGCCAGCATCGTTTCCCAGATCAAGCGTGCCACATACCTGCAAGCAAGCTCTTGCATACTAATGCCCTTCTTTATCAGATATTTATTATTAAAAGCTATTTAAAAGGCAGCATAATATCAAGGAGGTAAGAGTTTAAAGCATTTATTCCCTTCTCCATTAGAGCATAAGCCTGTAGTTAGTGAAAACCTTCTTCCAAGAAGGTGGTTTCTGCCAACACCCACAGCAGGTGACAGCTTGGACTAGAGGATCCACACAAGAGGCTGTGTGTTCATCTAGGCATTTTTGTCCTCGAGAGCCAAAAGGACTTGGAAAGTCCAAGCACATATCAGAGCAGGGAGCAGTGCAGCGGACCGAGGCCCTTGAGTTGGCAGCAACTGCCTGAGCTCCAGCGGGAGCAGGTTTTCCAGATCAGTGCTTTGCAGCCCTGAGCTAGTGCTGCTCCATGTCCTGTGCTAGTCAGCTCGCTTAGCAACGCAACCGTGCACACGGGGAGATCACGGCTCCTACTTTGCAGTATGTTTGCCTGTAGACACTTGGAAAACTCTTACTAAGTGACAAGTCCTCCCAGAGAACCCTGACTAGCTTGGGTATAGATGCGAGCAGGTCTAGCTCTGAAAACATGATGAGCACCTAGGTCCAAAACTGTTTTGAAAACTGACTTTTAGAAGCAGAGCCCCGTGTGAGATCAGTTGGGGCAGAGTGCTGCTGAATAAGACTAGGTACTCCTTAATCCCTTGGCTCTTTGGAAAACAGGATCCAAGGGCGCTATCTGAGACTTAAGAGGTCAGGTACAAACGTATTAACAGTTACAAGTCACAGTATACTATGGAATAGCTAAAATACTTCCATTTTAAATAGCTATTTTTCAAGTTAGCAGCAGGAGAAGGAAGGCACAGTCTCTGCAGGACCTCCAGTGGATTAAAGCTTAGCTGTACAGGAGCTAATTGGGAAAAGTTTTGTACAAACTGTGATGCAAAGACGATACCGAAAAAAGCCTCATCGCTGCAAGCCTGTAGGACCACTCACACATCATACTAAGGGGCATCAGCAAATGCAATAAATACAACAGTCAACCCCCCCCTCCACCCCCCCAGTTTATGACATCACTTAAAGAAATAAGCTGATGGAGAAATGAGTGTTATGTGAGGCTGGAAGTATTAAACAGCTGTAAAACAAATGGAAAAAAGTAACAGAAAGTAAACTGCGTAGAGTAGGTAGAAACAGAAAGCAAATATTCCTTTCTCATCAGGTTTCCATGTAACTGGTCTGGGAAAAAGCCCTTACAGGGTTAAGCGCTGGGGAAGATTGCCTTCGTGTCAGACAGATGCTCAGAGGCTGTGAAAGGGGGCACAAGACCATGTTTATATTGGGCTGGCTGCCAAGGGTTATTGCTATAGACTCTAGGTTAATTAACTTCACTGAAGGCCCCATCAACTGCATAGCTTTGGACATCTCCCAGCAGCTCCAGGAAGGAGATTTCACACATAGATCCTGTCTGAGATCACTAAGTTTGGGGCAGCTTGAGGGGAAACAGCCATTTTGACTTCCACTGCAGGAGTCCTGCAACCCAGGTAAATAAAATCCAGCTGCTCTAAGCCACAGACTTAGATTGTTTTGTTTTTTTTTTTTTCTTTCTGCAGTGGTATCTCAGACATGTGCTATTATCAAGTCTCCCAACAAGCCTGAAATATAAAAAAGCTCAGTAGCATTTGTAAAATCCTGGTTATACCTCACCACATTATCATGCTTTGTAGGGCCATATTCAGAGGGCTTTACTGGCTGCCACTAGGAGGTCTCTGGATTTAAACACCCATTTTCTGAGCTGAAAAGTAGTTTATAACAGGATGCACATAAAGAATTGGTGTTCCCTGGGTGAAGATGATGCTCAGTTGCAGAGTCCAGCCCTCTCCTAGTCCCTCACCCTATTGCCTCTGCAGCCACCCGAGACCAGCAGGGCTGTTACAAATACCAAAAAAAAATAATTTTTACAAACATTTACGAACCAGCACGAAGAGATCAGACCCTCCTGCACCCTCAGTGCCCCCGTCCACAGGCAGGTCTCCCAAACAGCGCCCCATAGCACGGGGTTAAACGCAGCAGCGCCCCTTTTACAGCAGAGAGACCCTCCCGGGCTCCTCCATGCTCCCAGCAGCTCAGTGCTCCCCCATGCGAGGCAGGGCTGGAGGGGGCACCCCGGTATCCCCCCGTCTCCCCTGGGCGAAGCGCGGCGGGGCCGATGCAGTTCAGCCTCGGGGAGAAGAAGTGCATCACCGCGGCGTTGGTGGTATAGTGGTGAGCATAGCTGCCTTCCAAGCAGTTGACCCGGGTTCGATTCCCGGCCAACGCAGTTAAATTTTCTCATTTCCCCTCCTTTTTTTTTTTTTTTTTTTTTTCCCCCTTACTTTTTTTTCT